ATAAGCACAGTGGGAGGCTTCCTTTTCATCATCCTGCTGGTGTGCACTGATTCCCACCTCTGAATGCTGCATTTCTGCTGTGTTGTTCTGCGTTCATCATTTATCTATGCAAAGCATTTGTGCAATGAATTTGAATATAATAAGAGTTTATTGTATTAGTCAGCATGTCCAGAGGGCTAAGAGTTTGCATCATTAATGAGATTTTGCTGCTAAACTTTGATATATTAAAAACAAATAAGTCAGCTATACAAAATAATCATATATAATTATTAAATAACTTAAGAGTTTCGATCGGAATTATTAAACCCCCATTGGTAATCAAGTTTCTTGGCAAAATTTGCAGACTTTCAGCTGTTTGCAATGAACAAATCAAAAAAGTAATTGAAATACCTCAACACAACAAATGTTTCAAGTGGTTTCCCCAAATTCAACTGAAAATGCAACTTTTGCAGTCTCACAATTATTCAACCCCTTCATGGCAAGCATCTTTAGTACTTCGTAGAACACCCACTGTTGCAAACGAGATGTAGAACCAGACAACAGCTTCTGGCAGCGTTTCTGAGGAGTCTTAGCCCATTCCCAACGCTATCTCACGACCAATTCGTACGAATTCGTACTAGTGATTAAAAGGTGGCTAATTCGTACTAATTCATACGACCTGGGGTAGGTCATTCGTATGAATTCATACGAATTTGGTAACTCGTAAAATATGTACGAATTAGCAAAAATCGTACGAATTTGTACAAGTGAGGTCGTATGAATTAGTACGAATTAGCCACCTCGTAAAATTCGTACGAATTGCCGTGAGATCGGGCTGCCATTCCTCATGAACAGTTCAGTAATATTCTTGGGTGCTGCAACCGCCTTCTTCAAATCCCACCAGAGATGTTCTAGTCAGGTGACTGTGATGGCCACTGTAGAATCTTCCAGGACTTCTTCTGCAACCAAGCCTTGGTGGAATTTGAGGTGTGCTTGGGATCATTGTCCTGTTGGAAGATCCAATGACGCCCAAGCCTCAGCTTCCTCACTGACAGCATGACGTTTTCTCCTAGGATTTCCTGATACTTCAATGAATTCAACTTGCCTTCCACACGCTGCAGGTTTACAGTGCCAGAGGATGTAGACGGTGTTCGGCACATGCTTCATTCTTCTTCCTCCAGACATACCGCTGATCCATAGGGCCAAAAAAGTTTTGTTTCATTGCTCCACAGACCAGAACAGAAAGTACTATCACTTTTGATAAATTTAGTATATCCTTGCTGAATAAAAGTATTACTTGCTATACGTTAGAGTTCATATGGATTATAATCTGTGTGGAAAGAAAGAAACACATGGTAAGCGGTCTGTCAGGACTGTAAGCGACAGTTCTGTCCTTCAGGCTGTAGATCTCTGAACCACAGATAGAAATGACCAGCAGAGAGATGCCTGCAGGACTCAACCCCTGGCCTATGGTCACCTCCGTGGCCTGAGCAGATGTCATTTTCAAAGAGAAGCCTTTGTCCATGGGCGCGCTGACATATGTGCCACAGAGTTAAATATGTCGAACAAAACACAAGACATCTGTCAACAGTCGGAGTATCAAGGGGACGTCCTGTTCAGAAATGTGTTGGGTTGTTGAGTGTACCTTAAGACTTCACATTCAAATAAAAATAAAGAAAAAAAATAAAGAAAAATAGAAAATCTGAGGTGGTTGACAAATATGGAGCATATGAAGAAGGACAAAAAACAGAAGTATTATAAAATACAAAGCTTAAGTCCATTTAAAGAAACACTTGTTATTTTCTCCTGTTAAGGCATAAATTAGTCCTTGCATTGAGAGGTCATTTTGACAGGGCTAATTATCTATTGTACCAGCAGAGGGCAACAACATTACCATCATCTGGAGAAACATATGGGAACTACTTACTCACACATTCAAATGAACCCTGGGTGAAAACCAAGAAGGTAATATGCGCTTCCATAAATTATATTAAAATGCCTTTGCTTTGATTCTCTATGCAGAGTCTACTGAATTATAAATATGTGAAGATGTGTTTTATGACTATAGAAACAAAAGGAGTGAACTGTGCTTTTGCATTCACGGATGGTAATACAACACTGGCCTCTAATATTCTGCCAAGTCGGTCTTTTATAACGAAATGCACCAATGTGATTAAGCTTGAAAAATACAGCAGGGGAGTCGTTATTTAATGGCCACTTTAATTAAGCATTATAAAAAATTACTGTTACTTTACCAACTGGAATTCATAAATCAGCGAAAGTGCAAATATCTCTGTGTGAGAAAGCAACACCTGACTGTGAGAGGGTTTTTTAAACACTGAGACTAATTACCTGGGGTCAGAGGTTGGGTTATTAACACTATTAACGGATTAAGCAATTGACTTTAAAGCAGAATTTGGTCTCCGTTTTTATGAAACGTTTATTTCCCACAGATTAACAGCCGTGAGAATGAGTCTGGGTCAGTCAGGCAGTTGCTAAAATGTAGATCTCAATTTTAAGTTGCCTTTTGGAAATGTCAACACAGTGAAGGGCATCCTTATTTCGGGACAATCAAATTTCTCTGCCTGTACCGCTCTTCAATGAAGAGAGTAATAAGGGAAGAAAAATACCTCCTCTCACAATAAAAACACCCGCATTAATATCAAAGACCCGCTATAGAGAGATGTGAAATCGCTGCGGCTTTGCAGAGGAACGGTGACAAAAACTCAGCGGGGTGGATATTTAATTCCATCTCACACTTTAGAAGTGAGAACCATCTTTCTGCTAATACACCGAGTGTGGGAATTATTTTAAAACTTCGTTCAAATTCTCATTGTCCCGACTTCTCCCCATCAAACTGGTTGTTGGCTTTATTTGTTTGTCAGCTAACACATGCTCTCGACGTTCCAGCAGAATATAGATTGGTTGCTGGTGTCAGACCGCAGGTACGGGCATGTGGATGTGTGGTGCTTGACTGATAGCATCTATAACCACTGGCAACACACAGACTCAATTCACACTCAGAGATGGTATGACAGCGGGCTGCAGGCAAGTTATTTCTTGAGGATGAGCAGAGCGAGCCTGTGGCACAGTAGCCAGTCTTGTCCTCAGAGACTGATGCTCCAGCCCCAGGTCTAGGTCTACTTGAGATATCATGCACTTTGATCTCATACCCAAGTTCCCTCTAAATCCGCCTCATGTCTTTCTCTGAGTAAAATTATGTTTATTTGAGATGCATGTTTATTTTTGCTTGATAAAATAAGATAAATAGTTATTGACCTGTGTTAGCTCACCTGTTGCACCTTGTAATTAGCTTCCCAGCACTTCTATTGTTAATTTCATAAGCTAGTGAAGTATTTTTTAAGTATCTACTTGCTCTGTTAGCAGCCAGCTATCTAGTAAATTTTAAGTTATCTATCTATTTTTCAGACTGTTCTGTCAGCACTGTGCTAGCACTTCAGTTGTTGATTCTATATTTCAATCTTTGCTCTGTTAACAGCTTGCTAGCACATATTTTGTTTTCATATATTAGCTATTACTCACTCTTTTCACATGCTAACAGTTACTGTTCATTTATTTTTAGTAGCTTTTTTTAAATCCGATTTTCTGTTAGCTAGTAGGCCTACTTCTAGTTAGCTAAGTATTTAGGCTCTCTTTTGCTCTGTCAGTAACTTGTTACCACTTCTGTTGTTAATTTGGTTTGTTATCTATTTTCCAGTCTGCTCTGCTGTTAGCAGCATGCTAGCATGTCTATTCTTGATTTCATGTAGCTTACTAGCTAAGTATTACTCAATCTTTACACTCTGTTATCAGCTTGCTCACACTTAGCCTATTATTAATTTCAGTATAATTTGTTAGCTAAGCAGTTTTCTAGCATCTAGGCCTATTCTTGATTTCAAATATTAGCTAAGTATTACTCAGTTTTTCAGTCTGTTAGCAGCTTGCTAGCACTGTTTGTTAATTTCATACATTAGCTGTGTATTTTTTAGTCAGGTTTTCTTTTAAAAACTAGCACTTCTATAGGTGTTAGCTTAAATTTTAGATCTATTTTGCTCTGTCAGCAGCTGCAAGCACTGCTCTTGTTAATTTTGTTGCCTATCTATATTTCAATCTGCTTTGCTCTGTTATCATCTATACTCCATTTAGCTAAGTAGCCTATTACTTGATCTTTTTCACTGTTAGCAGCTTGCTATCATTTGTTAATTGCATTAGGCTACATATATATATTTTTTTCAAACCAATCTTCTCTGTTAGCAGTTTGCTAGCACTTATTGGTTAATTTCATGTTTGCTAAGTATTAGGTTACACATTCTTTTGACTATAAGTAACATTGCACCTACATAGTAGACTGTACCGAGGGTAGGGTTAGTAGTGGTTAGGGTCTATTGGGGGACCATCACAATAAAGTGTTAGCAAATATTAAGCAGACAGTCTACTAATACTCTAATGAGAGTTGGTTGACCTGTAGCTGCAACGTTAGTCAACATAATGTCTAAAGGGGTGTAAAGAAGGAGACCTAATCTGGCGGCAGTTTGGCGCTGACTCTGACACAGACAAATTCAAATTTGCCGCTCCTCTGTTACCACTATGGTCCGGGTGCACACGAGACATAGCACTTGTTCATTCAAATTCAAAGTACCCATCGCCCTGCTACAATAAACTCATCGCCCTGCTACAACCGAAACTACAGCGGAATAAAGTGTTACCAAGTATTTTTTGATACTGTCTACATTTACATTTTGACCATTGAGATCTCATTGTGGACAGGGCTACCCAGCATGACAACATAAATAGATGCTAATCTGCCAACAAAATGCCCTGTTGCTGGCTGCAGTTGCATCTGAATAGGAGAAAAATGTTGCATCATTTGGTTTAATTTCCAGTAGAGCCAGGAAAACAAAATGAAGTTGTCAAATATATCAGTGCAAAAACTATTTCAATCACTGTTTTGGATATCAACTGAACGTTTATCTTCTTAATATATAGGCCTACAAATGTATAGTAGTATTTATAGTACAAACTAGGTGATCAGAAAATTTATTCCAGAAATGTGACTTTCCAAAACATAAAGCCTTAAAACGTTCACATAGCAACAAGTAGTCTGCAGAACCGGATGCCAAACGACAGATTGCTTTGACTTGGCAGGAGACGGTTGATAGCGTAAGATTCAGATCTTCCATTTATAGAAAGAAAACCTGCATGTGATAATAAAGTCTTGAGGAAGTGATAAAAAAACACCTGTGTGCAGGGTCTATTTTAAGATTGGAGCAGTCAAGGTCATCCATGCGGAGACAAATTGTGGAGGTACAGTACGGCTAACAAAGGGAATATGTTAGTGCTTTCCGCAGAGTGCGGCACACACACAGCTGGATCTAAGAAAGAGACCTGCTGGGAAGAGAGCTAAAAGGCAGGAAAAGAAGTCTATCAGTAACTGAGGAGGAGCCATTATACAATCCGGGCATACAGAGTCTGCAAAAAAAAAAAAAAAGATGAGGCAATACACTGTGAAGGGTTTAGGCTGTTTTGGCAGTCCTGTGATAGCAAACAGATGTTAAAGATGAGAAAAACATTGTACTAAGAAAACAGTGAAACAGAGAAGTAAAATACAAATTCTGCATTTCCGATCATTTTAGTTGTGATTTTGCCTACATAATTGAAAATTTAAGAAAATCCCATACCTTTCACAGGTATAAGAAGCAGTCTGTCAAAGACAGATTTCACAAGACTCAATCACCAGATCTCATCACCTCATTCTCCACTCTCTCGTCTCCGGTGGCCCATGTGACCTTGCCCGCCTCCGCCCTCTTCTTCCCACTGCTGCCCTTTTGCCGTTGGAGGCCTGTGTGGCCCCATCACTCTTAGTGCTGGTCTCTCTGCCAAACGCCAAGGCTAAAAATATCTGTGCCAACAAGGCAGAGTGGGTTCATCCCTCGAACAGGAATAGCAGAGTAGCAGTCAACTGCTGTCTGACAGAGTCGGTGGAATTGTCAGCTTGTGAGAAGCACGATGCCCTCTGTTTCTCTTTCATTTTCTCCCTCTCTGTTTTCCTTCCATAGGTTGGACAACATCTCCGTCCCCTCTGATTCATGACAATGTTTCAGACCCGACTCCTGCAGAGAGGAGGAGTTGTTTAGACAGAGGCACGTGCAAATAAATACGCAATGCTGTTCATTTCCTGTGATTTCAATAGTGTCAAAATATGAACTCATATCAAGCACTTAATACCACCCACCACAAACGTTACATTAATCACACCATGGACCTCAATTAGGGTTAGTTTGACTGATTAGTTCATTCGGTTATACTGTTATGTACCTTGGTGAAGCGTTCAGCCCACAACACATTGAAAATACGGCTTTCCGACAAAATACTAGACATCAGTTGGGAAAATCAGACATTTGAACACGCTGTTTGTTATACAAATCAGGTAACACAGAAAAAAGAAAAAATGGTGAAAACAAATCATCTAATAACCCCAATTCACATAAAAAGGTGGTGTGTTTTGCACTGAAAAGAATGCCAATGTCTTAATTTGATCAGGGCTTTTTCAGCATTTAGCACCATGGTTAAAACTGTATGTTTGCATATGTGTTTTTGCTGCATTTAAAGGGTTTAACTGTATATAAATTCACCCCTAAGATTGTACTTATGGACAGCCTTATTTTCATTCACAATAATTTACATATTGACCTTAGTCAGAGGCCACATGGGTCAATATATGAGCATGCAGTGATTATTTTAGACTATGAATGGTGTACATTAAATTTGACTCCTGGAGATAAGACATACATGTTTCTCTTTTTCTTCTCATATTTGTGAAATCATTGCAAGTCTGAGTCACTCTCTCTCTATTCTACTGTGGTCATGATGAAATATTCAAATACTGCTCAAGCTTTTAGAAAGCTAACTATTGCCATCTTGTGGTAAGATACAGAAAGACAGTTGCAGCCAAATTCAAACTCATGAATAATTAATCTGATTGCATAAACGCTAAATATTGCACAAAATCACAGTGCAGTCGGTGAAATAGATGTGTGATGTGTAAATGCTTCTGTTCCACTTTGATTGAATGCTGACAGTAGCATTTTTGAAGCTTAAAGTAAAACACAACTGTTTCACTAATACTTGTCATTTCGTAAGACTGACACTTAAAACCACACGGGGGCGCTGTCATTGGCTGAAAGCTTTTGATTGTTTGTTGTTGTGCATCAAATAGACCTTGAGATAGGATACATATTCAATTGGGTGCTTATGTAACATCCATGAATGAGAATTTAATTCCTTTTGTTTGGGCTTCTGGTGTGTTACCACTAGACTGACTCTTGAGCAGCAGATCTCCAAACAAAAGCTCTATGACCGACTACATTTAATTGAGTTTTATTAAATGGTCAAACAGCAGGAACTGTGGGGATTATAGTTAATGCACATTGAGAGCCATTGTGTCAGCACTGTCAGGAATATTTATTTATGTGTAATTGTAGCTCCCTTCTTGCGCATTTCCAATAGACCTCATGTCAGCTTAGGAATTATTCCAATTAAAGCATTTAATGCTGAATAAACTGTCTTAAGCATGTGTTTAATATTGCTTGCAAACAATAAATATTGGCTCACACTTTAGTTTATACAGCACACATAGAATAATGAAAAGCTAAGTATTGTTAGTTGCTTTATAACAATGAGCACTGTTTTTTTTATTACAAATTGTTAATTTGCTAAGTTCCTAATTATTTGTAATGTTATCATTATTTAATAGATCTGCTGTATACCATGTCTAAACAAGATGTGCGAGTGCATTAAAGATAACATTATAAAGCAAACATTACATAGGAAGGTAGTTTTTTTAGACATAAATATAAGTCAGAAATACATTCAAAACCTGTCCAACTGCAAGCAAATGCATGTGTTTCAGCTAAAAATACCTGACACAGCGTGGTGTTATTCTGCGTTTGAGGATAAACTCCCAGATCTCGTCCTCTGGAGAAGGTTTCCCTAAAAGTAGACAGAGAAATCAATAACTTGAATCATTAGTCTGGCTCATGTGGGCAAAATTATATAAACATTAATTGGATATGACGGAGAGAGATTGCTTTTTTATCCATTTCCCATAGGCATTTGTCTTCTTGTAGCCTATTTGGTCAAGACAAGCATCCATTGTTGTGTTTTTACTGTAAATACAGCTGCGCTTAAGAAAAAAATTGTGTATATGAAATTATTAATATAATATGAAAGTTTAAGCCCTTATATTAACATTTGGGTCTAGTCTAAGAGACAATGATGTTCATGTAAAAATAATAATAGTAATTTAAAATGAAATCTCTAATTTATCATTAAATTATCATAATTATATCCTCTGACCTAATCAAAGCCAAATAGGCAGTTTTTTTTTTATCAAATCTCTATATAGAAAATAATTATGCACTTTTTAGTAACATTCTTTTTGGAGTCAATCTGATAGGCTACCAGAAATCACATTGTAGAAAAAAAAACATTAAAATAAATTTAAGAATCTAAGAGCTCCAGACAGAAAACGGGGGCTTGTATTGTAGCCTACATTATTAAAGAACACTTACTGTGATTAAAGCACTGCCCTCCTCTGGTTTAATGGAGAAAGGCATTGCCATGGAATATGTACGTGTGCTTTCTTTGACTGACTGACGGCAAGTGACAAAAGACTTCACGAATCCATGGGGAACCTGCTCAGATACTCTGAAAAAGAAAAGGCAGGTGTTATTTTTCTTCCCTAGATCCTTTTAAACAGGATCAGCATGTCGTTAATATAAAAGATGCACGTGTTCACATATGCGCACTCACCACATGGTGGCAGCACTGCACTAGTCATAACTAAATGACTTCCACCCTACTTTTCGGCACAGAGGCTCACCGGGGTAAAAACCCACCTGACTCGATGCCTATTTATACAGACAACGCTTCACTTTCATCCATAATGTGATTATGCCGTCCCGTGGAGCAAAACGATACCACCGACCGCAAACTGTCAATATGAGTCTCCATGTGCCTATTGTACCGCCGGGCACGCGTTGTGTTCTGCCCGTCCCCCGCGGCTAGGGACAGGTCACATAAAGATTAGTCGGGTCTCTTCTCATCAGTAGGGGTCCCGACTCCCATCAGGAGAAATAAGCTTCTTCCAGGGAGGTGACTATTATAAACAGGTGCCTCCTTTTATTTTGTGTGTTGACACAAGGTGGTCTAATTTCGCCTTTGGATCTTTCGGCAACATATTGTTTCGCCTGTTCTCTTTTGGCGCGAACCTTCCTCTGACGATTTTTTTTTTTCACTCGCGATTTTTTTTGCAAATATTAATAGGTCTTACTTATTTTTCCTCCGCTTCTGTTTCTGTCAGATTTGTCTGCTGTGATAATTGGGCTCAATCAGAGATTATTCATGGCGCTCTCAGACATGACCGAGCAGCTTTGTTTGCCTTGTGCCTCTCTGACAGAACCAGCCCACACGTTCGGCTTCAAAAATGCCTCTACCTCACAATGAGTACCGCACTCATCCTTTTTGTGGGCTTGCATGTCCTTAATTACGACCAATTACCGCGTGGACGCAAACGCGGTAAAACATCCTACTTCTAAATGGACATAGCCTACCCTGGAAAATAACATGACAACCTCACCAAAAAGAAAAAAAGCACATGGTGCAAAGTGCAGCAAAACAACCCCCCTGTATGTTGTAGTATTTATCAAAGAAAGCAAATCGCTGATATTTTTCAAGTAGTACATCTTCTTGAAAATAATTACAGCGGTAATGACTTTTTCCCGGTAATGCCGGGAGAGGATCCGAGGGAACAGAAGCCGGAAACATGTAGGCCGATAAAATATCAGCGCCCAGGCCTCCCGGTGCGCTGCCCTCCGCAGCCCCGCTACAGTCCAGTGTCTACACGGCTGATAAACCATTAGCCCGAGCCGTGACTCACTCGTTGATCGTAGTGAAGTGCGCTAGCGGACAGCCTGGCCCAATACTCCCAATTGTTCCCCTAATATCTGTCTAATGGCCTCCATTTAATCTAGGGAGGATGATTATTACGTATCCCTCCCCCCTCCCTTTTCCCCTGGATGAACATGCAGACACACAAAGCAGTGGTCGTAGCAGATGAATACATCTCGGTCATCAGTGTAAAGTAAAACATAATCAGTGCATTTTGCTCCAGTGCATGAGTATGCTAATGCTTCGCTGCGTAATTTTAGATTATGTTCCGATAGCGACATGCAGTCTCGGGTACGTGTTGCGCGATCGTTCTCCGCGGTTTTCTTCCTATCCACTGAGAGGGTTTTTATGGGTTTCCAGATTAATTGAATGCAGATTATTATCCTACATTTAATTAGACAAAATTTGGTAACTTTTATGGTCCTAAAAATCCTACTGTACTGGTCTCCCTGCCTGGCGGCCAAGATGGTTAAGCTAAGCCGTTTTCGATGGGTTTTGTTCTGCTGGTTAGGTTAGAAAAATAGCTGAAAACTAGCTTGGTCGGGATGAGAGACCGGTTAACCAGACCAGGCTGGTTTGGTTTTCTGCAGGGAAGCAAGAGTTGTTGTCCCTCTTATTTTTCCCCTCTTCCATTATTTTCCCTCTTCCAACATTATTGCACTGATTACTTATTTTCCTTCCTTCCTCTTGTAACTTACTTTCTGTCGTCTTGCTTTATCTCGGTCTTTGTTTTCCTTTTGTTTTCTTCCATCCTCTGTGCAACATTCTGTCGTCATTCCTTCCACCTTCCTCTTGTTTTCCTTTTGTTTCCTTCCTTCCCCCTTGCAACGTTCTTTCTTTCTTCCTACTTTTTCTTTTCCTTCTTGCTTTCCTTCCTTTTCCCCCTCATCCTTCCTACTTTTTTGTTTTCCTTTTATTTTATTTCCTTCCTTCCTACTTTATTTTATCTTCCTTCGCCTTGCAACTTACTTTGTCTTCCTAATTTGTCTTCCTTTTCTCCTTCAAGCCTCCCTTCCTTTTTCCCCTTCCTCTTTCCTACTTTTGGTTTTTCTTCCTTCCTAGTGTCTTTTTTCCTGTTGAACTTTCTTTGTCTTTCTTTCCTCCTGCTTGCCTTCCTTCCTTTTCTTTCCTTCTTACTGTTTTCCTTTTGTTTTGTGTTGTCTTCTCACATTCTTCTTGACCTGCCTACTTTCTCTTTTTTTCCTCCATCCTACTTTTTGTTTTCTATCCTTCCTTCCGGCTTTCTTCCTTGCATCTTTCTCTACAACTCTCTCTCTCTCAGTTGTTAACGCCAAATCCGATGTGGCGACTGGAAAGGAAATTAAGTCAGTCCTACCCTCACTACAACACCCTGGACATGCACTAGCATGCAGACCTTCATTCGCAATTCACAGCCGGCTTGAAGCTCCCGTACAGCTGGACAAAATCCAAGGAACAGCAAGCCCTAGTCAAATATATTTAGTCAATATTTAGGCTTGTTCGGTTTCTTTTTCCGCCTCAACAAAAGTTTCATTTTATTGAGTGTTTTGCAGGGTTTTCCGTCTCCTTGCAGGATTTTTGAACAATTGACCCTCGAGGTGCTCATAGAAAATAAACTGCAATTCTCAATCAATATTGGTCATATGAAGGAAAAGTCTACATTGGATGATATTAAATGTTGACAGAGTGTTCAAGACATGAGGTCCAAATATTGTGCCAGCATTTGGGGATATAAAAGTGGCCAGAATATGATGCAAAGATGGATTTCTCTTGGTTTACGATACTGTTTGAGGTGGGTAAATAAAAGCAACACAGACAGATTTGTACACTCTGTATACTTTTCAAAACGAACAATATTCTCACAGCAAAAAAAAAAAAAAAAAAAGCCTATTTTTTACACAAAATACGGTGAAAAAGCGGGAAAGTGTGTGTGAGCGAAAATTTCTGTCATTCATTCTGCTCCGTTCACATTCTTAATTCTTTCTATTTGACCAAACTCAGAGTGACATATATAATATAATATAAGTAATACATGTATATAATATAAATATAAAGTAATATAATATAATAAACTGTAATATAAAATAAAGAATATAACTATAATATAACACAATGTCATGAACCAAATATGGATATAATACCTTACCATATGTGTATATGCCAGTTGAATTGAAGCTTAATGTATCTGGAAAACAAACAAGAACAGAGGCAGTGTTTTGCAGATTCAAAACTATTTTTGCCGGCATGTTGACTTAACTTGACTCCAGTGTTGTTTATTTGTTTAGTTAGTCGTTCATCTATAAAAATGGAAGCACACGCAGAAGCCGTTTGTGCTATTATCCCACTTAACCATGTTTCCAGCATTTCGAAAAATAATATCATCCAATTCGTATGGGCTCATTAGCTCCAACTATGACCTTGTGTGCATTTTTAAAGCAGGAACAATGAATGTAACACTATTATAAGTGCTCTTCACTCTGCATACTCTAACAGAGAACTATCAAATTACCTTGATTTCTTGGAGCGCAGGCCTCGGTTAGCGCACCTGACACATGTCGCGGTGCATTATTGGGGCAGTTACCTTTCAGACATGTGCTGAGGAGTGAACAGGGAAAGGTTAGAAGGTTTCATTCCCCAGTTAAAAATAGTAGAGCCTTGGTAATGGAGGAATGATCATTTCCACCGTGCAGCGAGGTCTTCGATGGCTGCTGACAGCATTAAGGGCGTAGCAAGGATGTGAGGTACTTCAGAAGAAACTAATCAGGCACAATATGTCTCAGTGAAAAGGTTTGAAGAAGGCTGCAAATGGAAATGGAGAGCAAGGCAACTTATTTAGAAATATATTTAAACATTTGCACAGCGACCGCCGCACGCTTTGTTAAGAGGTAGGCGAAGGACCTATTAAGCTAAGGCATATGTTCGTTGATTAGAAGCGAGGATAGTAATGGCATACACAAAACATTTGCAAGAACAAAGCATTATGGATTTGTTTCACAAATTAAGAATGAATGACGTACTAAACATTCTTTTATGTAAGCATTATGGACCCAGATTTGGCCAAA